GGAAGGAAGGAAGGAAGGAAGGAAGGAAGGAAGGAAGGAAGGAAGGACAGCAGGGTAGCAGGCCGGCTGGCTAGGTGGCTAGGTGGCTGTTAGCTGATGAGACAGACAGACAGGACAAGACATTCAATGGTGTCGTGAAAGCAATCCCCATGGATCCCAAAGAAAGAAACTCAGGGCCCCCTTTTAGCCATGGTGTATAAGTTGACCGCGTTTGGTTGAAACACCTGAGCCAATGAAAGAGATTTTCCCTTTTGATGTGAGTTTACCCTTGGCTTCTGCCAGTGGAGTAAGGGTAGAGATAAGAAAGCCTGGGGTGCAAGGATGTCCCTGGACAGGTCAATCCGAGGGTTGGGGAAATGAGTGAAGGGACGAGAGTGAACACGCTATAGTGCTGTTAGGTGGACAGCTTCTTCCTCTTCATGGTTCCTAAAAGACTTCGGTTCAGCCTCCGTTGAGGGTGCTGTCAGGCTCTGCCCTGAACCCCAAGCCATCTGCTTCAGAGACAGAAACACCCACGTGCGCCAAGGCCACACCGGAGATCAATGCTGCTTGTTGCAGGTGCTGCTTTTGTCTGCCAAAGCAATTGCCCACTTCAGCAGCCGGCTCCCTCCTGCTACCCACTCTTGCCACTTAGAGCAGACCCAGGTTTCAGAAGCGAGGTGCATGGGGGGGTGGGGGTGGGGGGAGGGGACGGAAGCAAGGTAGCCACAGTTTGGAGTCCAGCCCTGTGCAACTGCCTCTCCTCTTGAATAGTTTTCCATTGAAAGAAAGAAACCCAAAGGGCTGCGTGAACAAAGCAGGAAAGCGCAGCGCTTCAGTCGGCCAGCGGTAAATACCCATCCCGAGCAAGCTTGCTTTGAGTGCTTGGCTCTCCTGCTTTCTGGAGCTAGGCAGGTGCTGCCCTTCTATAAACAGAAGAAGGGAAGCCAGAGAGAGAGAAAGAAAACTCATCGGATAAAGATAATACCTCTGGCTTTGGTTTGTTTTTTAATGTAGTGCTTTCCAGGACGCTCCATTCATGGACAAAAGTGAATTTAGCTTTTCTTCTCCTTCTCCTTTTGAAATGTACAGTTAACTCAATGAAAAACATGATAAGAAAATAATATGCCACGCTGCCTGGCTTGCAACAGCATGCTAAGTCTTTCCCTTCTCCTTTGCTTTCTCCTTCTATCCCTCCTTTCCTACCTTCTTCTTTTCCTATCCACCTTCTTCTCCTATCCCTCCCTGTCCCCTCCCCTTCTCCTTTTCGTTCTCCCTCTCCTTCACTTTCTCCTTCTCTTCTCCTTTTCCTCTCTTCTCCCTCCCTCTTCTCTCCCTGTTCCCCCTTTTCTTCTCCCCTTCTCTTTCCTTCCTTCCTTCCTTCCTTCCTTCCTTCCTTCCTTCCTTCCTTCCTTCCTTCCTTCCTTCCTTCCTTCCTTCCTTCCTTCCTTCCTTCTCATTATTAAATGCAGTAGACTACATGTTACTGCCATACAGTAAAATATTCCAGATTTCTACACCTCTAATAAAAAGTAATGGGAAAATGAGTTTCCTACGGAAAACTTAATTGTAGTTTTTAAAAAGTGCTGTTTCAAAAAAAAAAACCCTTTCCAATTTCAAAAAACCTTTGTCTCTCTTATACATATATACGTTTTCAGTACTTGATTGACTTAGGCATAGCTATCGTCCTTCTTCCATACACACGGAAGCACCTGTGTGAAATTGAAAGCAAAATAATGGGGTAGTTAAAATAAGAACAACTTGGTATTCAGCTCCACCACCAAGACTTCCACAGCTTAGCAAATTGGGACCTTAAATTTGCTCAAACTGCCAAGTTCCCATTTCCCCCAATATAGTTATTTTTCTATTCCACATCATTATTGTTTTGCATTACACATTTTAATGAGTTTGCAGAGAGGCCAGGGGGCTGTGGTTCTTGGACAACCTAGAAAATATAATAAGGAAAAGAAAAAATCTGAAGATGACAAACAGCAGGGACTGCGGAAGCCCAGGCTCTATGCAAGATGCATGAAAAATGGGCCTCAGCTATCACTTTCCCCCAAATTAAGACTACCATAATCTTGGGGGGAACTCTGGAAAATATGTGTGGCATGCATTGATATAGATGTAGATATATTTCTTCCTGGCTGGCTCGGTTATTAATCAGCATTTACAGTTAGCACTCTATTCACTAAACAGGCCAACACTTAGCCTTAGTCCTAACAGCTGTGGTTTTACTCAGGGACAGTCTCTGACTGCCCTCACATTAATCTGAGCCGAAGTTCCTGCAAACAGGTTCCTTTGGAATCAAGCCCAACCTCCTTGGACATTGGCCCTGATTCCACGCCAACAAATACCCTTCTATTTTCCAGAGTAGGGCACCTTGGTTCAAATTGTCTTCATCTGTTTCGGAGACCTGGGTTGTTCTAATGAGAATCGTCCTGTTTTCTTTGGCTGAGAAACAATTTTCTCGTAAGTGAAAGGAGACTCCTCAGGCTCAGAGTAGAACGGCTGGAGCCTAGCTGCTTAGTTTGTTTTAAGGAGAAATGAGTCTGCTTCAGTTTTCCGAGTTTGGCAGACTATAAAACCATATAGAGATTCAGAAGGTGAGGCGTCCCTAAGAACTTGCTTGGTGTAGGTAGAACTATGATTTGGGGTAGGGATGAGCAACATTTCAAGTCCAGGAGTCCTTGGTGCTCTCTGAGCTTGGTTGTTTTCTTGCAGGCGTTATATTACCCAGTTAGGTAACATCAACAGTGCTAGGGAGTGGGGTTTGTTCTCAATTTGTATTGATTGGGGGTGACATGAAAGCAGAGTTCCAATATTTCAAGGGTTGCCACAAAGAAGAGGGAGTCAAGCTATTCCCCAAAGCACCTGGAGGCAGGACAAGAAGCAACAGGTGGAAACTAATCAAGGAGAGAAGTAACCTAGAACTAAGGAAGAATTTCCCGACCATTAGAACAATTAATCAGTGGGTGACAATTTGCCTCCAGAAGTTGTGGATGCTCCAACGCTGGGAGTTTTTAAGAAGAGATTGGACAACCATTTGTCTGAAATGGTGTAGGGTTTCTTGCCTGAACAGGAGGTTGGGTTAGAAGACCTTCAATGCCCTTCCCAATCTATTATTCTGTCATTCTATATTCTAGTGCAAGGTCCTTCCAACTTGGCAAATTTAAGACTTGTGGACTTCAACTCCCAGAATTCCTGAGCTAACATGACTGGAGGAGGAATTCTGCGAGTTGAAAAGTCCACAAGTCTTAAAGCGGTCAAGTTTGAAGACCCCTGTTCTAGTGGCTTGGCCTATCAGTGTTGGTGTTGGTCTTGGAGTTTCTTTAGTTGGACTGTTTACTATTAGCTTGTTTGGCAGTTAACAATAGCTAAATGTTCTGTCTCACCTGTGGCCACAAGGTGAGAGTCCAAATGTCCAAAGGAAAAAGCACGAACAGACAATATCAGGAACAACAGAGTTAACTTTCCTCTGTAGTCGTTGTTGGCAGCTTTCTCAGAAGCTGTCTACAAACCCAGATAACGAGCAGCACAATAAATCAAATCCAAAAGGCAAACAGAAGGCTTCTTCTAAACTGCGAATGTAATTAATGAAGTTTGACCCGAACAAGGATCTCTAGCTAACATGCCTCCTTATATTCCTTGAAGGGGCATGTCAGTCTCTCTAATTAGTCTCTGATTTGACGTTTCCTTTCAAATTGTGCTTGACGTCTCAGCCTACGTCTAGTCCTTGCATCAACCCAACATTCGTCAGTTTGATCATCACTCAAAGACTCTGGCACATTCTGTGGATCAGCTGCTGACACCTGAGGCATAATTGATGTGGAAGGTTCTGGAGAGGATGATGATTCTGACACTTCCTCATCCTCCTGGCTTACGTCTGCATCTCCCATTAAAGCAGGCTCAAATTCCAAAGCCAAACCCTCCTCATCACTCGAACCTGTGTCTTCTGACACATCAGACTCAAAGTGCACAACAGGCTCAAACCTCCCAGTCACAACAGCTAAAGTAGTAAAAAATCCAAGGAAGGAATCTTCAAGATCAGTCCCAACATCACTGATTGGACAAGTCATTAAAATATAAATAGAGAGCAAACCACGCTCCCTACTAACACTGATGATGTTAATGTAGTTTGACTAATGAAATGTCTGTAAGAAAACAACAGAGCTCAGATAGCACCAAGAACTCCTCATTTCACCCCTGAGCTACAAAATGTTCTCCTTTGCTGATATACTTTTCTTAAGGTTTGAAAGCCATCACGGCCATTCAAGGTCTGAGAAAGGTTTGTACCATACAGATGGGCAAAACTATAAGGCTCAATTTCTTTCTCAGTTTTTTTGCAGGGTAGTTTTTTGTTTTAAAATGA